AACTTTATTTTTTCATTTTCTTTTCGTATAAGTACATACTTTTAGGTGTTCGGACTGGATGTCCACAAACATCAAGTTTCTTTAATAAATTCAATTGGTCCTATGTTGGTATTTTTCGATGAATTCCCTTAAATATCCTCAATGTCATTCATAAATATGAAGCGCTAATTATGTACAAAATTGTCAATAATATTTTCTTTTTTATTTCATTTCTTTTCTCATAACGACATAATTTATTATGAGATCTCAATTTTCAATATCTTAGATACTGAACCTGTTAAGGGATTTTACAATTTGTTAGGTCTATATACTAAAAAAGAGTATAAGCCTCCTCAATAAATTCGAATGTCATCATGCATAGGCATGTTATTAATCTATCAAATATAATGTTAACGGATTGTCCTTACGTAACGTCAATTTAAGTTGAAGTATTTAAAGTTGGTGTATGAGATATTGTTAATCTCTTTGATTAGAGAATGCATCTAAATCGATTATTTTTCGAACTTCTGGTTCAAATTGTCTTGGTGAGCATCTAAATAATATAATGATGCATTTTGTTTATTTTTCTAACTTCTTAATTCCTCATCCTAATGTTGAGAAAATTGTCTAATTAAAATGATAATCGGCTAACTGCATTATAAAATATCAATCTTTAGGGCTTAGTATATTTTATAAGGATTCAAACTATACATTTATTCACTACATTCTTTAATATCCATATCAATGCACCGTGATCAAGTGATTGTACAAATATTGCACTATAAAAAATCATTAGGTAAGAAATTTTTAGACTCTGACCATAAGTCAACTATAGTAACGAGAATTTTGATGTTGAAATGATGTATACGAGTGTTGATGCATATAAATTACTAATACAAGTCTTAAAGTACTGCTTGAAATGTGTTAAAAACCGTTTAAATGCATGAATTCCTAAATTAATGCAATCCCTAAAATTACTTGTAATGCAATAGTTGATCAAAATAAGTAAAAAAATGGATAGAAAAATGGGTTGTTTCCCATTAAGCGCTTAACTTAAAGTCTAGAGCTCGACTTTTTCACTAATGTTTCATGGCACTTTGAATATGGATTTGGAGGTCCTACTTAGCTTGTTTAATTTGACTTTGTTCCATATTACAAATTTTCTCCAAACTTTAACATTTCCCGCCTCCAAGTAGTATGATTTCTCCTCATCACCCGTTTCGAACTCAACAATATACATCTCAATCTCCCCATAAGGTCTAATCACAAATTCAAATTTTGAGCAAACGAGAAAGTCGAGGGATTGCATGCTAATTTTTTCTTCTTTGAGTGCTACTGATTTTTTCACCCATTATGATTAATTTTTCGATCTTTTCATACTTCTTTTCTTTGATTGAAACTTTCTTGAGTTCGACGTTTGTATCCAAAACTTTTGGCAAAGAAACAATGACATCTTCATGGAAAGTCTCCTCNGATTAATTTCTCGATCTTTTCAGGCTTCTCTTATTTGATTGAAGTTTGCTCAACTTCAACGTCCATGTTCAAAACTTCTTACAAAGAAACAATGACATCTTCATGGAAAGTCTCCTCCTTTTGTTGTATTTGTTTGAAGTTCGGTGGATCCGATTATCTTAATTGATGTTCATTAATAATCTGTGGAAAAAATAATCCGATAAGCAAATCACCCATGTCAAATTTTTGTGAGAGAAATAATGTAACATGCAGCTCACCCAGGATAGTTTCATCGAGTTCACATTTTATTTTTATATCTCGTAGTCGCTATCCTATAACGAAATCTCCCACAAGCATATCTCCCTTGTCAATTTCTTGAGCTATCAATTGTTGTTGTTGTCTTATGATGAAGTCACATACGAGCATTTTGTTGAAATCAATCATAGTCATATGTTATTCGGCTATTTTTGGTCTTTTTATATTCTGAAAAAGAAAAAAAAACACAAAACAAAACAAAAAAATGGAAAAAAATAAAAATACAAGAATACATGTAGAAGTTCGAATTAGTGTCAAAATAAATGAAATTAAACTCGAAACTCAATCTCCAGCAACGGCGCAAAAAACTTGTTCACGAAAATATATTTCGAATTAAAACTATCGCAAGTGTACGATTTATTAACAAGTAATAAAGTGGATTTTGACTTCAAGTATTGTCCCACAGAGATTGATTAGTTCAATTTTAATTATCATAACCTTAACCGAAACAAGAATAATATGATATATTTGTTTGTGACATAATTATGAATAAATTAATCTACTTATGCGATTATGAATAAATTAACTAAACTAAATGCAAATTATGCTAAATATAAATTGATGTATTTAATAGATGACAAACACATCAGGATCTCGAATTTCCATGCAATAATCATTTTTAACCTTAGTTCTGTAATTTGACAACACGATTGAATTTCAACGAATTAATATTCCTGTTTTATTTAACAATATTTCTGGAGTAATGTTAAATATAATTTTATATACGGTCCGACTATATTTTTATGATGTATGCGAATATACAAGAGCGCATGAGTTTTTATGAACACTTAAAGATTCATATGGAGTATAGAAGTATATTTCTATCTCCTTATCGGACTCTTTGACAATTTACACCATGTCGAGCCTATTTTCTTTTTTTCGAATACATAAAATAAATCACCAAATTCAAACAATTACCGTGCACAATAATCGTAGCGAAAATATAATCATGTTTCAATGTCAAATATGGAAAACTAAAGATTAAAAATTCATATTATAAAGTTTATCGTTCTCCTAGCACAAATAAATTTAGCATAACATGTTATGAAGAAGAAAGGAAAAGATATAAATATAGTTCATCACCCAAAAATTCTTGAATTCAATCTTGAACTTNTAACATGTTGTGAAGAATAAAACAAAAGATATAAATATTGTTCTTCACCTGAAAATTCTTGTATTCAATCTTGAACTTCTTGGATTTGATCTTGATTTGTTCTTTGCCTCCTTTTACAATTCATTCTCCACCCTAATTATGTTTTGAGAATTGTTATTAATAATCCCTTTAAAGAGACCCAAAAGATCTTCAAAAATCATGTATATCATGATTCAAACGGAAGTTTCCTTATTAGAATTGAATTATGAAGAAAACATAATTTTTTTCTCGACTTGGCTTGGACGGACGCCCAATAGGAAATGGGACGATCGCCCCGGCATATCGTACAACACCTGTAATTGAAGTTAAGGGCTGGGCGACTACCTAGTTATAAACATTTCTCGAATTTTCCTTTTAACCATTTTCTTCATTCTTTCTTCCATCTGATCCTCCACATTAAATTACTTCGATTTTAGTATTTCAATTTTTACTCAAATGCATATTAGTCCCTAAACTTTCATCCATTGGCCAATTTATACTTCTTTTTTTTTTTTCCAATTACTTAGAAACTGATCTGAAACTGAAATAAGATAAAATTAACCTAAGTTAAGTAAAATCCAATATTAAAACGACACGAAAATTTAGTAATATGACCCGAATAGTACAACTACCAACTAAACAATTGTAGCCCCGCACTCCCATGCTCACCAACCGTGTAAATTTTATCTACATACACTGAACTTTCAGTGAAATCTCAAGTGGATCATTAAACTTTAATTTGTTCCAGTTAAGTCACTTATATTTAGCTTAGTTTCGAATTTCATCACTCAATTGTCATTCGTCTCAAGGGTTAATTGATGAAAAATTGTTTAATTGACCATCATACCGCAATGGATCTTCATGTAATAATTGTGTGGCATGTCGATTAACTATTATACCACATCAAAAAGTGTTAAATAATAAACAAGCATTTTAACAATTTAATCTAAAAACGTAGTGTGACCTTCATTTAATTGACGATAGGTGGCATGAACAGAATTATCAAGAAAAAAATTTCCTTAATTGAGTCTTAACTGTCTGGTACCAAATTTTCACGCAACGAAGACTTCGTATTTTTGTTCCCGCTATTATGGCCCCACGGACCCTTCTTCCCGACTCCACGATAACCAATAAAAAAGAAAAAGAAAAAGAAAAAGAAAGCACATCCTAAACATGCAAATATATACAATATAATCCATACATGCCATTCCAAGAATCCAAAAAACCTCTCCAGGCTCATTAAAAAGCAGCTCTAAATCCCGTTCCCTCTCTCAAACCAATTTTTTGTGCATTTTTCGACACGCACACACACACACGTAATGGTAGGGGAATCAAGAAAATGGATGATATTGGTGGCAAGTATCTGGATACAGGCATTTACAGGGACAAATTTTGATTTTTCGTCGTACTCGACTGGTTTGAAATCGGTTATGGGCATATCCCAGGTTCAGTTGAATTATTTGTCGGTGGCTTCGGACGTGGGAAAGGCATTTGGGTGGTGTTCTGGGATTTGTCTTTTGTATTTTCCATCGTGGCTTGTTATGTTCATTGCTGCCTTCACGGGACTCATTGGTTATGGCCTGCAATGGCTCGTCATTCAGAAAATCATCTATTTACCTTATTTTCTGGTTAGTTTTTTAATTTCTTCTCGGTCTTTGATCAATTTGAATCAATATATATTGTGGGCATCCATTTGAAAATGTTTTTCTTTTGGATAAAATTGTAATGTTTTGTGCTTGTTTGAATTCGGGCATTCATGGGATTTAGATTTGTGTTTTATGAGGTTTGTCTTTCAGATTTCTGCTTCTCACTTTTTTGGGTTCCTATTTTCTAGAACTGTAGGTGGATTGGAACCTCACAGGTTCAACTACCACAAAACAGATGGCAGATGCTTTAAGATAAATGCACAATTTTAATTTTCAGAAAAATATATTTGCACGTCTGTTATACTTTTGCAAAGAGAATTACTTGTTTTGAAGCCATTTTCCCCGTGAATCTTGTATCCTATTGTAAAGGATGAAACATTCATCCATCTTAGCGATACGCTAACGAGAAATTTTTTGAGCAAAATGTTTCATTTTCAACTTATGGTGATGAAAAAAGTTGTCATTGCTTACTGAATAACATAGAGAATCCAACCACCTTTAACTACCTCAAACAAATAATCATCAACACATAAAATTAATGTGTGCCCATCAATCAACTATCATTTAGTTTTCAAGTGAACCATTAGGTAAGCAGTCCACCAAATCCTTCTCAAAGCATTTTATAATAAAAAGTTAGTGATTAATTATTTAGAAGATTTTCTTTTGGTGTTGATGGGTGTTTCTGTATCTTGGCAGCTTATGCCTCATTAACTTGACATTTCATTGGCATTCAGCTTAACCAAATGGTTTGATAGCAACTAAATATGACTCTAAAATCATGGATAATATTCAAATAGCAGAGTCCTTCATTAGTTGAAGATTGCACTCTTGTGCTATCTTACGTACGTATTAGTTATTTTGATGTGCACATATTTGTAGATGTATAGATGCTTAAGACACGGCATTAAGGGACGATATGACTTCCCGGAATATAATCTAATTATTTCCCTCTATCTTATGCCTTAGCCTTGGTTTTTCTTGGTAAATTTTGGCATAAAAAGCTTAGACATACCCTGTTTGCTTCTTTGTACATTCAATGTCGAGATTTTCTTCATAAATTTTGATCCAGCATTGAACTTCTGCAGGTATTTCTGTTGTGTTTACTAGCTGGTTGTAGCATTTGCTGGTTTAATACGGTGTGTTTCGTTTTGTGCATAAGAAACTTTCCAGCTAACAGGCCACTT